TAGTGACAGATAGACAACCACAGGACAGACAGACAGAGGTTAGGTGACATTTTAACGAAAGCTGAAGTGTTAACGTCTGTGTGTTGTGGTTCTTGACGCTAACAAAGAGAAGAAAGAGAGGAGAAAAATTGTACATGTGAAATGTTACAGAGGACATTATACAGATTTAATTCCTGTCTGAAAACGAAGAAGTAGAACTAACTAGCTAAAGCACAAAGACTGACTTGAAATAAAATCTGCCAGATTTGAAGTGGAGTTTGTACAGTATGTATTATTGTATTTATGTTTACGCTAGCTAGCAAACAAAAGATGGTCTAACGTTTCATATGGGACATATAGTGAATTGAATTTAATCTTTTTTGAGAAAATGCCGTTTTATGGTCTTAACAGGAACCTAGAATGATAAATTTTGATTTTAGGTTAAAAACTTAGTAAGTCTGTTAGACAGATAGTCGTTTATATTTAAATTTTATTCGATATGAGATAAAGTGCTTTATAAACAAATAATAGAATTAGCCAGCGCTTTGAGTGTCTGCAGTTATCCCTGAGTTCAGGCTGCAGCGATCTCCACAATGTTCAAGCTCCACGATTCAGCTTTTCTGTAATCTGAACAGACGAGTTCTGCTCAGAAAACGGCGACACGAGCAAACTTGTTGTCACGACGAACTGAAACAAATGTTCTTCAGCAGCTTTTTACAGCCTGAGACGAACAGTGAGGAAAAAAAGCAGCAAATGGGTTGATGATATCATCCTGACAGTGAACTCCTCGCCCCCCCCCTCACAGTCCAACAATTCAGGAACTCGTTGTGAAAATATATCTGATTGTCCAAGAACAAAAAAGAAATTTTATGTCCTGAAAGCTGTTTTAACCAGCGAAGCAGGAACAAAAATAAGATCCCAGATTTGAAGGTGGAGGTTTTGGTAGATCGTTACCAAAGACTGGAACAAGGGGAAACTGTTTAGCTGCAAAAAGACTGAAAGTGAGGAAAACCGTTAAGCTTAGCACAAAGACTGGAAAGTGAGGGGAAACTGTTAGCCTAGTTTAGCACAAAGACGGGAAGTGAGGGGAAAACTGTTAGCCTAGCTGAGCACAAAACGGTTAGCCTAACTCCAAGCTGTCTGATTTTAGATTCGACTGTAGGAAACACAGAACCCACCAAAAGAGAGGTGAACCACCCGAGTACCTACAACGACTCAACAGAAACAGTGACAACCACGGACCTTACCGACTAACCCACCTTCGACTACTATTACGGTATGAGGACCTAACAGAACACCGTATATTAAAGTATTAATAGTATCTTGATTAATAGTATCAGTGGTATTAATAGTATAAGTAGTATTAGTAGTATTAGTAGTATTAATAGTATTAGTAGTATTAGTAGTATCAGTGTTATTAGTAGTATAAGTAGTATTAGTAGTATTAATAGTATTAGTAGTATTAATAGTATTAGTAGTATTAATAGTATTAATATTATTAGTAGTATTAGTGGTACTAACAGCAGTATCTGTGTCTTGCAGTGACGGGTTTTTATACGCCTCACGACAGGAACAAGGTGAGAAATATTCAGTTTTTAAGTTTAAATAATGACGAGCTGACAGAGATCTCAGTGTGAGAGAGGATGTGTGTGTACGGGGTCAAAAACAATTATTATTTGACAGCAATGTTTTACTGACCTCTGTGTGACCTCTCTCAGGCCGCAGGGATTGGTCCGTTAAGCCCGGTGCTCCTCCTGGGATTGGCTGCCCATCACATCTGGAACTGATGGGGGGGCTAAGGACCACCTGCAGACAGACAGGTGAGGACAAATCAAGTTTTTGAATTAATAAGAAAAAATGTTTTTTCATACATTTCTCAAAATAAGAAATGACAAACATCAATCATTATGTAGCTAGTTAGCTTGTGTTTTGCTAGCTAATTGGCTAGTTAATCTACATGAATTGTTATCTAGTGCAGTTATTGTTAGTTAGCTAGTTACATCTGCTAAGAGCTGCTGTCAGTAAATAAGTACGAGTCAGTGAAAATGTCATCAGATAACTTTTGTTATGAACTGACAAATTAAACTAGCGACTTAATCTATATAATTTGTTAGCTAGTTAGTTAGCTGCCTGTTAACTTTAGCTTTCAGATGCAACTAGTTAGCTAACATTTTGCTAACATTAGCTAACTTAAGATTTGACTATATCTCTTTTATCTTTAAACCGTCTTCAGAATGTTCTTTCCAACATAGATTAGTAATCTATTAGAGCTCCACAACTAACTTTAGTGTTTATGGAGGATTCATTGTTAACGTGTACAAACTGAGAACGATGATGGTCAGTGGTGTCAAATGCAAACTTTAACCAGAGCTGTTCTCTGTCTGTGATGAAACTTAATCCTTGACTTGAAATCCTTTCAAATAAATTTATTGCTATGTTGAAAGTTCACACAACTGTTTGGATAAAACCCCTGTATCAACAGTCAGTTGTATAAACAAGCTGCACAACAACAGCATGGGAAAAATGAGCTTTATTAACTATAAACACGTTATATTTGTAGTAACATTTAAAACAAATTATAAAATAAAAGTTGTGATGAGACTAGTGACTTTTCCATAAGAAATGTAGTTTTAATGCAGTTCTTCTACTTCAGATGATATTTATAAATAATAAACAATGTTTTAGATTTATGTTTACTTCTATATGTGAAAATGAACTGTAATTAGATTCAATAATTAGCTTTTATTTAGTCAGCCCTGAGTTTTGTCTGCAGGTCAGTCAGTAGTGATATGCTCTTATATATCTATATGACATTCACTGACGCTACACAACTCAAACTGTAAAAACAAGACCCCTGAGGGCAGTTTGACCTTTGACCTTCAGGTTGAAGGTGAGGCAGTTCAGTAGAGTCCCATCATTCACTGCTTCCTGTGTGTTAAACCTGAGAATCTTTACGAGCTTTAGGGAGATCCTGTCAGTTCCTGCTTCATCACACTGGTTTTATTGGGAACGTTTGTTTTCCAGTTAAAGACCAACTTTATTTATTGTGAGCTGTAGTTTCAGATGACCAGTGTGACCTCTGGTAGCTGTGGAGACAGGAGGACACAAGTGTACTACTGATGGTTTCACTTTAGTTGTTTGTTCCACTAAAAGTATTTGTTGTTGGTTCACTAACAGTTCGTTGTTTGTTCCACTAACA